AAGTCAAAGTATTCCCCTCCAATTTCAACCACTTCCTCCCATTTTCCGGCAATTTTATGATTACGCGGCGGTGAAACTCGGTGCCTATCGAATCAAAAAATACGAGTCGTCAACAACGGAGACGTTTCATTTCATTCAAAACAGCTTGCGCGTCATTTTCTTGTCGGCAGCCGGCTCTTTGCTTGTGCGTCGAATCTACATTCCCAGAATTGAATCTACTGAAGCGATTATACACTACAGTTCTTCCAACTGTTTCATCACCCCAGGCATCGCTAATCCAGCAGAGAGTCTCACCAGCACTGGAACTCAAACGATACTCGTGCAGCATCAACAATCGCATTTGCTTTCGGGCACAATTCCATCTTAGAACAAAGTTATAAGTGCTATATATAAAAATGGCGTGGAAAGAGCGATGCGCAAAATAGGCGCCAGTAGTGTAACGGATAGAGCATGCGCTCCCTGGATGAGTGAGGTGCGGGTTCTAGTCCCGCCTCACGCGAAAGTTTTGCACATCACTCTGCATCAATGGGTATATATAAAAATAGCCGAAAGAAGCTGCTCTAAAACGATAGTAAAAACAAAAACTTAAATGCATAGGAAATAACTGAGAAAAAAACGTGGAATTCCGGATAATTTCTTGCAACACAATAATAAAATAAAGCCATTATAAAGTTATTACTTTTTCTATTGTTATCAAAGTTAATATGATTACACCATAGCACTTCATCACTTTATTTAACCCGTCATCACAGTGCTCTTTTTTCACTGGGCTAATTCCAATACTTCAAGCATTCAATTCGTTTTTCGTCTTCATCTTGAACGACATAGAATACTGGTTGAGCGAGTCTTCATGCAATCTCGTGGAAGCCTTTCTATGGAGTGCCATAGAACGTTTTTGTTGACTGCGGGAGAGGAGGGGTGGAGCTCGGCTTCACGTGCACGGAGACAAGCATCACACCCACTCGGCTACGGTGCCCCCATCATGGTCAATATTATTATGTTTGTCAACATCATTAATATCCTATCAGCAAATTATTAGCGATATCATAAAGTATTTCCGGAGCGCATGTGTCGTAGTTATAGATGTCCGGCGTCGCACACAAGGCTGATGGTGCGATCTCGCACTCATGGCTCACCGAGTTATCTATCCTTTCCACATCGCTAAACTGGTACCGGACTGGTCACAGACTTGTCCGAGAGGATAAGCAGAACTGATCTGATACATCGGAGGGCCACCGCGAGTTATTGTGAAGGCTAAGTGTGCATTCAATCACCTCGAACGAAACCAAAAATTGAAGACGAATGCGTGGCACATCCCTTAGAATTAATCAATGCCAAGAGCCTTATCCTTGTCCTTCATCATAAAGTATTGCAGTAAGACGTGTACAAACTGATTTCAGGCTTCGTTATAGTTCCCTCCTACAACTCTGAAGTTTCATGGAGAATGTTTGTTTCGTTTCCTTATCAGTCACCTTTTTCGACAGTTTACTAATTTTGTATGTAATATTCGATAATATTGAGCAGTGTGTAAGACCTTAAACATTCGAGGTTATTCGAACTCAAATCCATCCTTTCCGAGGACGTGAGCTATCCACTGCAGCACCGAGATGATTATAAATGAAGGATAAAGACAAAGCTCCTGGCGTTGATCAATCCCTGAGGGATGCGCCATACAATTGTTTTCATTTTTCAACATCGTTTGAGGTGATGTGCATATTCGGCCTCTACAGTGACTCGCGGTGGCCTCCCGCTGAACCGAGTCAGTGCTGCTTATATTTTCAGACAAGTCTGAGACCAGTCTGGAACCAATACACCGACCCCGGAGAAAACGGATGACTTGGTGAGCCATGTGGGCGAGATCAAACCATTGACCTAATGAGCGACGGAGAGCATCCTTGACCACTGTGCTACATGCGCTCTTTGTTCAACTTAATCACCTCTTTAACACTTTCGGGACCGTGGGCACACCTTTCCACATCCCTAATCCCCAGAGTAGCAGCGCATTCAATGTATCATTGTTTTATTTCATGATACCTCCATATTCCACTGTTTTTTCAGACCTTGCTCAAGACAATATGATCTGCCACTGTATTTTTTGAGCCTTTCATGCGATCTTTCATAGGCACTATGCAGTTCAATACAGGTTTTTCGGCCTTGTTGCCTCGTCAGTTGCACGGTGCCTTTCGTCTGAGCCAATCCCTTTTAGGGGAGAATCGCTTTTACTAAAGAAATCGCAGACGAACATGTCATACTTCCTCGTGTAAAGTGGATATTCACGCCACACACGGCAGAGATAACATATTCAGCGACGTGTTATTTTTGGTAATGCCTTTATATTAGATTGTTTTTCAGGCCACGGCACGATATGCCAATATGACTATGTACTTTTCGAGCCTTTCAATTTTGAGCATTGCACTGTAAAAGCCCACAAACGAGCTCATCAAAGGCTCAGAAAAATTGCATTGAAATAGTATAATAGTACATTCGATGCGTTTCCGCACTTGGTAGTCAGGTATACAGAAGACGTAGATTAGACCCCCTAACGTGGCCACGCTGGGGGCTAGAGATGCGGAGTGGGTGGGTCCACGTTCTCAAAAGGGTTGATTGTAGTAGTTAGCATTTGAGCCATATCAACCAAGATCCCAGTAGTTCACATCTTTATTAATTTGTAATTTAATTCGTCCAAATTACAGTGTCGATCGCGATTGAAAATTTCACAATGTCAACGTGAGAGTTGGGCCGTTCCACTCATGGGGTCTGTCTATGTACGCCGATCTACGCTACGGAACACGACGTGCCATGGTATTTTTGTTTTCTTCAATACTATTTGGTTTCTTTTCGCTACATGGGAGCGAATGGAGAACCGATCCCTTTTGTAGGACGAGAACTTTCATAAAAGTGTTAGTAATTATTCCAAGTCTAAATCTCCGCTTACTGCGTTATTTGTTTCTTTTCAAGAAGAAAAGGTACTCTTCGGTTATTAGGAGACAAATGAAAAAACCGACCTAATCCGCTACATAGGCTAATCTTTTCATAGGAGTGCTAGCAAACCTTCTTTCGCCTAGTATTTGCTGATTCAAAAACTGCGCATATATCCTGAAAAGATCGTTTCTCTGCAACGCAGCAGGTAAAACACGTTGAATTCGCAAGTGCTACCATAGTGGTCTTTGGCCAATTCACGTGTCGCTGGGTAAGGCGGCACATGAGCCGACGCGATGTTGTAAGACCCGTCCAAGATCAATTGATTGATAATTGCGTTAACGCACGTGGCCGCCTTACATAGTGGCACGCGAATCAGCCAAAGACTACGTTACCCGCACATGCCAATTCAACATATGTTACTTAGTACGCTGCAGAGAAACGGTCTTTTCAGGATATAAGCGCATCATTAGAGTCAGCAGACATTGCGCTATCGAATGATTACTGTTTAACCAAAAAGGCCCCATCTGGAGAGAAGTATGCGCGTCTGAAGCCGGTTTTATTTTGGATTTTGCAGGGTTACAAATGGGCGTTTCGGAAAACCGGCCGCTGTAGCCAGAAATCTCAGCTTCTGAATGTTTAGTAACTCTTCTATAAGATGTTCCTCTCCAGTGAATGAGATCGATTCTTTATTTGCCCCCCCCCTCTCCTATGATATAAAAGTAGGAAGAGAGTCTTTATAGAGCGCTATAGCGAAAAGGAAGGTTTTGTTTCTAAACACACGCATTTTTCTCGCAGTATATGACTCCTTAGACTCATAGCAGTTATACGATGGCATCAATTTCGACGATTCCATCGCTACGCTTAATTAAGGAAAACACCGTCTCATTGGAAAAAGCCGTCTCAGTGCAGTGTGCCAAGGTAAATAAGACTGCGTTTGATGCACGCCGCTCATTTGCTTTATGCATAGCCGTGGATCACTGCGGAATCAATCGATCGCCCAGACCAAACTTACGTGTGGACTATCGAAATCGAATTTCTTCTCCGATTTGGCGGAAATCTAAATGAAATATAAGATTGTAATACTCGAAAGTCTGCTCCACACACTCATATGTTTTTTGTGCTTCCAGTAAATTATAAGCGCACGATGAGTGTGAAACATAATTTGATTTTTAATCCCACGGCGTTATTGAAAAGCCTCTCTAAGAAGCGAGCACAACAGCACTGCCCCAAGATTTAGGTTTCAAAATGATTGCAAACACTCTTATAAAAAGCTCTCGTTTAGCAAAACGGATCATCTCTTCATTTCTTCCTTCCAGTGGGACAGTATCAACCATTTTTCATTTCAATCCATCATCACTGCTTCTCAACAGTGGTGTACTATTACAATTATGCACCCAAGAATGTTGAGTGATAGACAAAACAAAACAAACAAAAAACAAAGCGAGAGTTGAACTCGCGTTTCACTCATGCAGGGGCTTGTGCTATTACTGTACTACCGGGGCTTTCGCTTTGCTACCACCCTAACCTCTAACGTAAGCTATCGTAGCTGTCAGCAACCAATCTTCAAGGGGTTTGACCAAGTAAGGACATATTCGACATGAAAGCGAGGTTAAGCTGACAGCTATTTGAAGCGATGATCTGATTGAATCTCTGACCTTTTATTCTATTGTTTGTGTTTCTAATGCATTTCTACTTGCTCAGCTTATGTCGATGAGACTCTGGCAGCACTTCTACAGAGATCACCGTTTTATCTTTATTCTTCACGGCGAGACTGTCGTCAAACAAGCCGCTTGTTCGTTGTTCAATATGGGCCTTGTTGGTTTTTCACTTAATGTTTTTCTACTTATTTTTTTATACTTGTCTACTGCCCCATAGAGACCGCTTGTGAGATATCGATTATTCAAGCATTACGGCAGGTTAAATTTCCTTTTCATTCATCACAATACTGAAGAAAATGCAACAAAAACCGCACAACTATTTTGCGACAGCAGACATCTAAAAACTCGTTACGGTGTTGAAAACTTTTAAATTAGATAATCATGAGGAACGAACAAATGGTACTTGCTGATTTATGGTGGAACGTCAGACGAGATTCGAACTCGTATCACACCCTCTTCGGGGACGTGAGCTAACCATTGCACCACCGACATGACTATACGTACAACTATTACCTGTCACCTTGACTGAGCTCCACTGGCGATAGCGGCATGTCAGACCAAACCTGTGGCAAATGGTTGATGACAAATCGCTACGTTTTGTCACAGTAAGACCGATGCTAGAACAGGAGCGTCATTTGCAATGATTAGCCAGCGTCCCTGAGAGGGTGAAATGCGGGTTTGGGTCCCGGTCCGACTTCCGGAGTTCTGCATATCTCTCAACAATAAAAGGACAAGGCTCTTGGCGTTGACTATTTTTTGAGGGATGGGAGACCTGTCTTATCCTTCTAGACAAGCCTGGTACCGATTCGCCGACTCTTCAGGATGGAAGGCTCGATGGGCTATGAGCGCGAATCGAACCATCGATCTTGTGTGCAAAGCAGAGCACTCATTACCACCATTCCATGTATGCTTCTCGTTTAACATCATCAAATACATATTTGTAACATCGTACCGCCGTTAGAAACTACGAAGGGGCGCTACCAAAGCGGTGGTTTATGTAGTCGTGGTAACACGCGCCCGGTTTGGGTTGGACATGGGTTTAATTGCCGCATGTGTTGGGAGTGGCTTGTATACCACTAAGTATTATTGAGTGTATATCTACAACCTTATAAAACTGATATTAAAAGTGTATCATAACTCATAATGTGGAGTGCAGTGCAAAACAATTGCGTCAGCAGGGATTCGTACCCAAATCTAACTCTTTCCGGGAAAGCTTTTCTTTGATACTATTTGGTCTCTTTTCGCTAAATGAGAGCAAATGAAGAACAGATCCCTTTTGTAGGACAAAAACTTTCGTAAAAGTGTTAGTAATTATTTCAAAACTGAAATCTCGTCTCACTGCGCTATTTGTTTCTTTTTTTTAGGAAGAAAACGGTACTCTTCGGTCACTAGGAGACAAATGAAAAACCGCCTTAATCCGCTACATTTGGTAGGACTGTTAGTAATCCTTCGATAGCGTAGTATTTGCTTATTCAAATGCTGCGCATATATTTTGAAAAACCGTTTCTCTGCAGCGCAGCCGGTAAAATACGCTGGATCCGCAGGGTGCGACCAAGGTTGTCTTTGGCCAATTTACGTGCCGCTGGGTAAAGCGTTACATGCGCTAACGCGATCTCGTAAGACTTGTCCAAGATCAGTCGGTGGATCACTGCGTGAGCGCAGGTGGCAACACAACGGCACGTAAATGAGCAAAAAAACTACCCTACTTCGCTTATGCCACTTTTACTGATTTTGACTGATACTTTGCAGAAAGAACGATATTTTTAGATATGTAGGCACAACTTTGAAATCTGCAAACACTGCGTTTTTGAATGACTGCTGATATACCAAAGAAAATGCTTTATCCTGCTAGAAATATATGCCTCTGACGATGGTTACACTTTGGATTTTGCAGCGTTATAAATGGGCGTTTTGAAAAACCGGCCACTTGGGGCTGCAGCCAGAAATTTCGGCTCATGAATGGTTAATAACACTCTTGTTAGAAGTTTCTCTCCAATGAAAAAAAACCGAATTTTCATTCGTCTCCTTTTGACCAGAAAAATACAAAAAGAACATTTACAGAACGCTGTAGCGAAAGAAAAGTTTTGTGTTTCATATATGCGTATTTTTCTCACAGGACATGACCTCTTTCCTTAGACTTACACCCGTTATTGGATGGCGTAAGTTTCGACATCGCTATGCCTAATTTTGAAAAGATCATTTCACTGCTGTGTAGCAGAGTAAATAAGACTGAGTTTCATATACGTTGCCCCACTTGCTTTGTGCGTAGCTGTGGCTCGCTTCGCCGTCAATCGATCGCGCCAGGCGAGGCTCACGTGTGGAATGCGATTTTTATTATTGAATTCAAAAATTTTTTACCGCTTTCACAAAAAAAATCTAGATTAAATGTAAAACTGTCATGCTCCAAAAGTGTCCTCCACACGACCGTTCATTTTCTCGTGCTTCCATTGAATTATAAGTACACGACGGAAGTGCAATATAAGTTGATTTTGAATATTACGGCTCTATAAAAAGGCTTTTTCAGATAACGAGCACGACAGTACTGCCCGAAGATTTGGAGCTTTCGGATGACTGTAAACCCTCGTCTAACGGTAAAGCGTCGGTTATTTTTTTCTTAAATCCATCATTTTCACTGCTCCTCAATAGTGAAGAGATATTACAAATATGCAATTGAGAATGTTGAGTGATATGCAAGACATTTGATTCCAAGCGGCAGTTGGACCTGCGCTTTAGTTATGCAGGGGTGCTACTACTGCACCATTGAAGCTTTCGCTTTGCTACCACCCTACTTTCTGATGTAAAGCTACCGCAGCTGTCAGCAACCAATCTTTAAGGGGTTTGGCGAGACAAGGATATGTCGGCATAAACCCGAGTTAAGCTGGCAACTGTTTGAAGCAATTGATCTAATTAAATCCCTAAACTTTTGTTCGTATTTTTTGCGTTCCTAATGTATCTCGCCTGCTCGTTGACGTAGAGTCACTCAAGTCACGCTCGAGTCACTCAACGGTTAACGGAACGACAGGTGATACAATGATATATGTGCATGCATACGCACATATATACACAGGCATATATATATATATATATATTATATATATAAACAAAAAAAGACAGCAACATAATAATAGGGAGAAAAAGCCATATATCAAAGATATAACCTGCGGCGCTGATTCGTCCACTCCTTTATGGCCATTGACTTCTTCTACAGACTGGAAGGAGAGACAAACTCGCGTTCTACATGGTGGCATCGTAAACCACCAGTGAACAGTAAAAGTTAATATAGGAAGTGAATTTTGCTTATTATGATTCACTCAAAGGCCGAGAAGTATGCGAGATAGACGACAATGAATTCACTTGGCAATTCGAGATAAGTGAGGATTCTGCGCTGTTTCGCATCCGCATTTTTTGGTGAGCAGGCGCGAGTTTTGTTCAGTGGAAGAGGCTGCTTAGGCGGTATTGCCTTTTTTGGGGTCTGGCTGAATCAACTTGCCGTGCACCTCTCCGCAAAACACTTTCATAATCAAGTTAGACGATACTCTTTGTGAACATTGAATTGCACAGCAATCAGCTTCTATTCATACTCACCATTTTGTCGTATTCAATGATCCTCCGGTCTTACTGCGGACAGGCCGCAATCAATCACACATGGGACGCTTATTGTCACAATATCCTAGCATCTCTTATATTCAATTGATAGCATTCTTAGGCTTTTTAATAACTGACTGTAAGAGTTTTATAAGAGAGGATCAAACTAGCGTATTGTCTATCACCTTGCTTCTTAACGCACTATCACTACCACTGCGCTATCCCGCTCGTTTTTCACAGGAGTAAACTGCTCAAACGTTCTCTGTTGAACTACACTGGTCATAAAATACCTCCAAAATGGACGTGAAGAGAGTATTGAATTGATTTAGATACTATCACCGTGTATGGTGCGAGTTGAGAGAAAATGATTGCGATCATCCAGAGCACTGTTTTGGATTGAAGCCCTTGCGCCTAGTTAACGCCTCATTTTTTCAGGATTAAAGAATATTCACCAGTCTTTTCCAGATACAGTACACTCGCAGTCCTCGAAATGTTGACGTTCTAGCCTAGATAAGTAAGGACTTGAGAATACTGCATGAATCGACCAGCATTCAACGACATGCTTAAAGAGGACAGCAAGCTTCGAACAGCAGAAGAACGCCCCCACTTACAAGAAGTCCGACCACCTTAGGGAATGATGATGGATGCGAAGAAACGAAGCGAATGCACGATGTGTTTGGGAATTCGTATAGTTGATATGAAGGTGGCATTAAGCTCTAAAGCTCTTGGTGTTGATCGATTCTTGTAGGATGTGAGATGCATTCGTCTTTGTTTAGCATTGGTGATTAATTGTATGTCTTACCTTTGCAACGAATCACATTGTCCTATCAATGTATAAAATCAGCGCTGTTAACATACCAAGCGAGTTTAGTACCAGATTATAACCTCGGTTGGATGTAGAGTCTGGTGAGTATTGGTGCTCGACTGGACATTGACTATTGAATGATCGAACACCGATGTGGCTCAGAACACTTAACCACTTAGCCATACCGGCTCTTGAGAAGACGTGAACTGTGTAAAATAAAACAAAAAGGCCAGCTAAGATGCAAGATGGAACAGTCGGAATCATAGAAGTAATGATCATCACAGCCTCCTTTGAGTCACTGCAGTCGCATTATCGCTGGGAAACCAATTTTTGTTGGGTGCGCTTCGGATTTTGAATAATTCCGCTTCAATCAAATTCATCGCGTTTCCAAAAAATCTACTGACGCCAGGCCACTGCCGCTGTGATCGTGCCAGTAATTATTACATTTTTATCCATAGTAAAGCGATTTTCAATGTTTCATGGTATTGTTGATTGATTTTATATTGCTATTTTAGTGTTTGCGGCTTTCGTAATGTTTTCTTCGGCGGACCTCCCTCCTTATCAGTCGCGATGCCAAATTTTCACTGGTAAGGTGAGAGTTTTCTATGTATCTTTTATTCTGCTATCGACTGCTTTTTTACAGACCCGCTCAAAATGATTTAATCTGTTAAGGATATTACTTGTTTTGAGCCGATAGCAGTCGATAGCAGAAGTATGATTCATTTTAAAAGCCGTAAGCTCGACTGCCGGTCAGCAAAAGTCAGGTAAGACCATCATCCGACTTGAAGTGATTATTATTTTTACTCGGCGTCGATTTCTTTAGAGGATTATTTAGCCTCAAGGAATCGACGGAACCGAGGGAGGGTGCTACTGATGAGTCCCAATAGGACGAAATAGGCGCCTATATAGCACTAGACCTATCGGCTCAAAACATGTCATATCCTTATCAGATTAAATCGTTTTGAGCGGGTCTGTAAAAAAGCGGTCGTTAGCAGAGGTATTAACTCTGAAGATCATTCGCTTTCATGAGGTGATCTTTTTTCCCGCAAACAGACGACATGCTTTTAAGAAATTTCTGAGTTTTGTCCTGAGACTGGTAAAC